CTTTTGAGCAAGTGGAACCCATGGACAACAAGCTCTAATACCTGCTGATCACACCGCTATGTACGCTGTTTCAATGGCAAATCTAAACTTACGACTGAAATCGAGCTATCCTGCAGAATAGTCTGTTGCGGATTAGAAAAATTCTCATCACCCCCATCCTGCTGCTCCTCCTCCTCCTCCTCCTCCTCCCCCTCCTCCTTCTTCTCCTCCCCACTGCCGACGTCCAACACTGATCCGTCCAGCTTGCCCTTGCTCGCATTCTTGTCACCAGTTGCCTCCCTCTTCTGACCTCGCTGGCGCAGACGTTCTTTCCTCACAATATCGATTCTGCTCAGAGTGAAACGATTAGACGCATCCGAGACCTGCAAACTTTATTCAGGGTGCAAGAGAAGAGGAGGAGGAGAGGAGAGGAGAGGAGGGGGCAGGAGGGGAGGGGAGAACGGAGGGCAGGAGAGGAGGAGAAGGAGGAGAAGCAGCAGGAGCAAAAGCAGCAGGAAGAAGAGCAGGAGCAGCAACAGGAGAAGGAGGAGGAGGAGGAGGAAGAGGAGGAGGAGGAGGAGGAGGAGTAGGAGGAGGAACAACAGGAGGAGGAGGAGGAAGGCTTTTAAACCTCAACAGACAAGTCAGTGGATAGAGATCGCGAGTGTTTCGCCTCGTAGTCCAGGGCGACCAGGCAATCGTCCTTGTGGTGAGGGCAATCTTGCTTCTGATGTGACGACTGCGCCTGCTGCCAAACATAACGGTGAGTTTCACTGACTGATCAGATGAAAGCAGATACGAGATCAAGCAACGTCTCTTTTCACTTTCACCTCCTCGCCCCTACATCATTCTCTCACTGCCTCCCCTTCTTTGTTTGCCCTTCTCAATCTTCTGCTCTGCTCTGCTCTGCTCTGCTCTTCTCCCCTCCCTCCCCATCTTCTTATTCCTCTCCCCTCGCCTCCATCATACCTTCTTTTCCAACGCAGAGGACAGAGCGTCTTCAAGCGCATTCGTCGTTCTCTTCCTCCTTGAGTTTCCTTGTTTCTCGCCTCCCTTGTCACTTGCTCCCTCCTCCTTCTCGCTCCCCGCAAACCTCCTGCTCCTGTCACTCCATCTCGAATTCCGAATGTTTGCAAGCAGCGGCAACGACGGCCAGTCCGTGTCCTCCATACCTCCTCCTCCTCCTCCCCCACCTCCGCCTGAAGCACTCTTCTTTCCTGTACCCTTCCCCGCGCTCCGACCATTTCCATCACCCCTGCCCTCCTCCTGGGAGTTAGAGGACGCGAGAATTTCCCCATCCCTCGTCTCCTCTGCCTTCTGCGCGATCTTCTGGAAGAAACAAGGAGATTCGCAGCCTTCAGGTTGAAACCCTTCTTCTTCCTTGTACGCCTCCCTCGGCCCGAGGACGTACAGCCGGCAGCACAGCAGCGGCCGACCGTCTTTCATCCTGACCTTCCTCAACTCAGCAGTCCTCCTCCTCCTCTCACTCGCATCCCCCCCCTCCTCCCCCTCCTCCATCTTCCTCTCTTCGCTCCTCCTGCATTTCAATGGGAGGCACAGGAATTCCCTCCCAACCTCCGCCATCTCCTTCTCGCACTGCTCGTAGAAACGATGATTCGAGGCAAGGAAGGTGAACGGGTCCTCCCTCTCCTTTCTCCTCCTCCCGCACCCCGAGAAGCTCGAGAACGTCAGTCCACTCCTACACCCATCCTCCTGTAAGCAGGAGGCGGCAGCGTGAAGGCAGGGGAGAAAGTTGAAGGAGACTCGCTCGCACTGACGTTTCTCCTCCTTCCATTGCAGGTCGCACAGAGACAGGAGGCAACTCAGGTGCTCCCGCCGTGCTGGCCCCCTGCTAAGGCTGCTGAAGACAGCTATCGCTCGCTTCTTCCTCCTCTCATGCTCCTCCTTCCTGTACAACTTGGGGGCTCCTCGCAGATACTCCGACAGGCCTTTCCTTGCTGCTTCCCTGCAGCACCTGACAGAAACTTCTTGATCCGCCCATAGCCCACCTGCCAACTCCATCGAGACATCTTCGATCATGACGTTCCCCCTCTCCTCCTCCAACTTGTCTGCCCCCTGCTCCTCCCCGCCGCCCGTGGAGGAGGTGGTGCTGGCAAGAGCCTTCCTGGCCTTCCTCGCATAGTTTGAGCGCCAAATCTCTCCATCCACTGGGGTCACTCTGAGTTTTGGAGGAGGATGAGTACTGAAGGACAGGATGGGGATAGAGGAATCCAGATGAGCGGAGAGGAAGGAGGAGAAGGAGAAGGAGGAGGGGAGATCGTCTCCCCACCCATCATTCTTCTGATTGGAGGACCCGTCCGCAACCTCCTCACTGATCTGCATGTACATGTCCAGTATGTCCTCCATCCGTTTCTTGTTGCTCTCCAGAAGGACATTTTCATCCTCCAAGATGTGAAGACACTTGTCAGCCGAAAGAGCGAAGAGCGCCTGCGCTCAATCATCCTCCTCCTTCACTCTCCTCTCCTCCACCCTCTCCCTCGATCTCCTGCCCATCTCTCCCTCCCACCTCCATGACTCTCTCCTCCTTTCCTCCTCTCCCCCTTCCTCCTTGTCCCTCACCTTGTAACTCGGTCTGAGGAGACAGCCCGAGCTGATGAGCAGCTGGCGGATCTGAAGGACAAGGGGCGTCACGCCAGAGAGAGCACAGGGAGGAGAAGGAAGGAGAAGGAAGGGGGAGTTGAATATCGAGGAAAGAAAAGTAGGAGCGAAGAGGAGGGAGGGAGGAGGAGGAAAGAGGGCGGAGGGTGGAGGGGAGACGAGAGGAGGGAGGAGGGAGGAGGGTGGAGGGGAGACGAGAGGAGGGAGGAGGGAGGAGGGAGGAGGGAGGAGGGAGGAGGGAGGAGGGAGGAGGTAGGAGAGAGGAGAGAGGAGGAGGAAGGAGGAAGAAGTAGGGAGGAATGAGGAGGGAGGAATGAGGAGGGAGGAGGGAGGGAGGGGAGGGAGGGGGATGGAGGACTGCAATGCTCACTTGGGCATCGAGCGCCTTTTCGAGTCGCAGCAAGTTTGACGAGATCTTCGGGTTGACACTTTTTTTCCGCTGCACAAGCGTGAGAGGGATGGAGGGGTGCGAGGGTGGCGACGGCAAGTACCACGAGGAAAGACAAGCAGGGAACCACATCCACCAAGACTGAAAGGCGAGCGACAATCGTGTCGTCGTCAATGATCCTGCCTCTTACCCTCGCTGTGTTTTGTCTGTTGCCCGGGAGCTGTTCTTCTGCCTCAACCATGAACCGCTTTATCATCACAGCCTGACTTCGCGTCAGTTGCCTCGCAAGCTCTGGGCAGGGAGAAAAAGGACAAGAGAGTTCGAGAGAGAAAGGATAACCCTGGATGATTCACCTTTGCTGATTGCAGCGATCGGAGGATGGAAAGAAGGTGAGGAGGGAATCTGAAAAAAATTCAAAGATTATTTGCCAACGTCATTGTGCGCACCTCGGTCCCTCCAGGCAGAAGAACACGCACTGCGCACTTAAGAAGATCGTGAGCAGACACGATCGCCATGCATGTTCCTGTGTCATGAAGCAATGAGACAGCAATCACAACCTGTGCAGCATTGAAACACCTGTTGCTCAGATGCAAAGTACGCTTCGTCGTCCTTGCCTGGAAACAGCAGCAGCGTTCAGCGGAGGAAGCAACAATTTCAAGGAGGGAACCAAGAGAAAGCAGAGTCTCTTGAGATGGGAGATAGAGATAGATCACAGGTCCTGCCCGTCCGTTGGATACATATCCTTCGATCCTTGGCATGATCTGAGGTTTGCAGAGATCCAGTGTTCTCCTGGATAGTCGTCAATATAACATCTTCTAGGTCAGTGAACATCACACGTTCCCCGTCACACCGCACCAAATCAAACCTCTCCAGTCGAGAACGAATGTTTCACCTTTGTTGCTCTTGCGCAAGCCGGAGAAACTTTCTCGTGCTGAGTCTTCCATTGCTACCCTCTCTGTCTCCCTCCTCCTCCTCCTCATCATCATCATCATTCTCATCCTTATCCTCATCCTCATCCTGTTTGTAGTGGTTGTTATGTCTCCTACGTAGCAGAAGAAAACAAGAGAACCTCAGGGATGAAGACCGGGATAGGAGGGACCGCATTCTCTTCGAGATCTATAGCTGTACACTCATCCAAAAATGCCGGACGCTGTCAAACACTTTCAATCCATCGCAATATGCTCATACACCCAATCGGTGTTGACAGTGCATACCTCACTGCCCTCAATATTGACGAGGCCAACAACATGGTACTTTCCAGGCAGAAGTCCTGAGAGGAAGAAGATTCATGCTCCGATGATAGAAGACATAGTCATTGGACACCTTTGGGGTTGACTTTTAGGCTGAATGTTTCAAGTTTCAACAGGGATATGAAGTCAGCCGAGAAGGGTCACATCAAGCTTTTCCAATTCTCACATCTTCTTCTCGTCTTCGTCATTCTCCTCTTTCTTTTCACCAACCTGGTCGCACAACATGTCCATATCACAGCGTTCTCCACAACCTCCGACTTGTACCTGGTCTGTGTCGGGCATGAAAGGTTGTACTCCCACCAAGTGGCTGAGTTTGCCCGTCGTGTTCATTGAAGTTTGCAGCATGTACTGGACGAGTTCTTGAGGTATTTCTTGAGCCTACCTCGACCACCTCCACTGCTATATCTGCCTCCTCATTGCGCGCATGAATCCTTGTGACTGATCTTCGTTCATTTCCGATCTCGCAAGGAGCTTGCTGGGATCATTCAACATTGTGCCCAACCCTTGCTTGCAAATATCATCCCCCGCTCTCCCCCCCCCTCTCCTCCTCTCCTCTCTCCTCTCTCCTCTCTCTCTCTCTCCCCCTCTCCTCTCTCCTCTCTCCTCTCTTCCTCTCTCTCCCCCCCCCTCTCCTCTCTCCTCTCTTCCTCTCTCCTCTCTTCCTCTCTCCTCTCACTTTCCTTCCTCCCCCATCCGTCTTGCCACCCGCATGCCTTCGTGCATTCCTCCTTAATAATTTTACTTAACTTTGAGTAAATGGATCGGAGGCTACTGAACCCGGGAACCGGGCCGGGCCCTTCCGACACTAAGATGCTCGTAACAAATCCGCCCCAGAGAGATAGATAGAGAGAGAAAAAGGCAGCGTCAACTTCTACCCCAAATTACTAGGGAAAGACTTGAAGTACTTCACTACCTTTGCGCCTCGCCCTCATACTCACTGTCGTGTCTCTTGGCTGCCATGCTGCAGGCTGAGCTATCGCCGCCAACTCGCAGTCGCCTTAGCTGTCTCGCAGCCATGCTGTCCTTGCGTTCCTGAACAAGTGCCTGCTCCTCTGCTCGTCTTCCCTTACCCTTGCGCTCCTCTAGTCCTCCCACCCTCTCTGTCTCTCCTTCACCGGACATTCCTCCATGGCCGTTTCTTTCACGCTTGTGAGGGCGAGCCTCGCCCTCTTCCTTCTCTTGCTTTACGCAGAGGCTGGCGAGCCAGGAGAGCGCAAGATCAAGACCTTCATCAGCAGCCTTGACAACGACGACATCAAGAAGCCGCACGAGATCGCGGACTTGAAGGAGAGCAGCTTCAAGAAAATCGAGCCAACTACCGAGTTCGGGCCCCTGGCAGATCAGCGCGAATTCAACGAGTTTGTCAAGGCAGGAGAGCTCGCCTGTGATGGACCCAACTGTCCTTACCGCCAGGCGATTCTTCCAGGAAGCAGAGGGCGGGTAGGGTCATACTTCCCGCTCGATCCCGTTAAGAAGGAGAAGAAACTGGTCGAACACCTCATCTCCTCCCTCGGCCCTCCCTGTGCTGTCATGTGCAACAGGACGCAGGTGGACAAGAGCGCTCACACCGTCCTGCTGGCATCCGCGGGCAAACTCCAAGATTGCATCACGGCATGTGAAGGCGACAAGAAGCAGCGGGTAGAGAAGCTCTTGTCAGAGATTGATCGTGTGCGCGCCAAGAATGCAGAGGCCGTGGAGAATAGGCCTTCGTCCTACTCGAAGCCCATCAGCTCCACCAGCTCACTGGAGGCGCCAGCAAGCACCTACTATGACGAGAACGAGCTTCACTGCAGCGTGTCCGAGAGGACGAGGGTTACTTGCAACCTTTGCCATGGATCCAGCGCGTTCAGGTTCCGCGGGTATCGAGTGGAACTGGCGTTCCCCAACGAGCAACGCTTTGTGCCCTCCTATCCCTTCTCTTCTCCAGCTGATCAGAAGCAGCTTCGAGATTTTCTCAGCCGGGTGTCCCCTGACTCGGTCAACACGTTCAGCCTGTCGCCGTCTCAGGACTCCATCTGCCTCTCCTGCAATACTCCCCCCATGGTGTTTGACGCCCTGGCGCGGGTTGGTCTCAACCTGACTGTGTTCGGGAGCGAGCGAGGCTACGGGCTGAGCGGGACTTGGACTTTCATGAGAGGGCTGAACAACGAGTACAAACTGACGAGCACCCCTGTCCTTGCTTTCCGCCTTCATCCCCATCCCATTCCCCGCGAGGAAGGGAGAGAAGAGAGAGCGATCTCTGTGATCTGGTCGCAATCGTACCACCCATGGGATGAAGCTACGACCCTCGTCCCGCATCTTCACGTGCACGACGCTGTCGGCGTTCTTCGGTTGCAGGGAGACATCCAGTTCGACCGACCGGGAGCTCAGAATTCTCTGCGCAAGATTCACGCCTACATCAATGGGTCGTTGGTGTTCGGAAAGCAGAAGATGCCCATCGTCGCGCAACAGCCTCTTGACTCCCCTCAAGGAGTGGCCCAAGGCAGTTTTCATGGCAGTTTGACCGCTTCCGAGGTTCTCGCCGGGTTTGACTGCCATTCGGCTGCCCTTACAGGAGCTCCACGTGAGAATTGCGATCCGTTCCCAGCTGGTGAGGTGCATGAGAGGCTGAGCAGCATGAACCTGCAGTTTGCGACGTTGAGCGATGTTCAACTGCTCGCTCGCTACTACACAGACGGTGCCGAGAACGTCTTCTACAAGCTAGACGGGACTCTCTCCCTCTGGCCCGACTGCTCCTCCACCATCTTCTCTACCTTCCAGCATCGTTCGTCCTCTCTTCGCGATCTGGTCTTTGTATGGATCATGAATTTTCATGCTTCATCGAGCAAGACGGTCATGGAGATGGTCGCGCACCTGACTGGCTCCGCAGCTTCAGCAGACTGGACGCGATTCGACCTGCACGACATGTCTCTGATCGTGTCAAAGACTCCCTACGACTTCTCGGACGCTCCCATGCAGCTTCCTCTCCTCGTGAACCGCGTTGGTGCGGGTGTGACCATGACTGTGACTCTGTCCCTCAAGCCCGAGGATCCAGTGGGTCGGCTGCTGCTGCCCATGATGGAGCGCGAGAGGCTGAGTGACGGTCGGAGGGACGTCACCATGACAGGAGCCTTGCATGATGGCAAGATGGCTCTGACTGCGCCGTTGGGAGACTTGACGCTTGGAGGAGGCTCGACGCTCTCTGACGCTTCTCTGAGGATCGAGCAGCGCCAGTCAGGCGACTCGTCGGAGTTCTCGGCGGGTCTGACTGGAGTTGTGGTGATCCCCCTCAATGGCCTGAGGTCCCAAAGCTTCAGAGCTTATCTTGCCCTCCAGTTCGCTGATGACGGCGAGCCGCACCTCGAGCTCGTTGGGTCGCTGCCGTCAGCCATCAAGGAGTTCCTGGGGTATGACAGCACGAGTCTGAGATTCGTGGTGGTTCGCACTCCCTTCTTCTCCTCCAAGGTCTCCTCCTTCATCGCCGAAGCTGTCCTCTACGCGGGCCCTGCATGTCAAGATCACAAGAAGCCGCAAAGATGCCTCGATGCTCGAGTGGTAGCTGGGCTCAGCGCCAGGGACTCTCGTCAGGACATGCTGGCGGGCAGCTTTGGTAGTGTTGATCTCCGGGATGTGCTCAGCGTGTACGGTGGCTCCTCTCTCGCGAAGGTTCCTGCTTGGCTCCAGCTGGCCTCCTTCAAGGGAGGCGCGAATTTCACACTGGCACGGCTCGACCACACAATCCCCGGGTCGTCCAACAACTTTCACAGTGTGCCAGCAGGATTCTGTGGTGAGGGCAAGCTTGACATCTTGGGAGAGGAGGGAGAGGCGAAGTGGGTGGTGGATCCCAGCACTGGAGCAGCTCTGGTCAACATCGACATGCCCCGCGTCTCTCACGGGCAGATCGAGCTGGGACAGGACAACAGCCCTCCCCTCCTCAAGTTGCATGTCGATCCCCAGCACGACTCCAGCTCGGCTTGGCTGCAGGGGCTGCTGCGAGTCGGGTCCCTCCTCAAGCCGGTGGTCTTCGAGCTTCAAGGGGCCGAGTGGCGATCCGCGTTCTCAGCCCGATACGGCGAGGCAGGCCTGCCACTCCTTGCTCGCGCGTCCATCCCAGCCAAGGCATGGAAGCAGTCGGCCATCAGCCTGAGTCTCCTGCTGGCCCCCGAGGGTGTCAAGTCGCTGACGCAGCAGCTGCAGCAGCAGCTCCAGATCCTCTGTCAGGTCCAGCCCGCGGGTTGTGGTGGGAAGGTGCTGAAAGAGCCGCCCGTGGCAATCTGCCGCATCAAGTTCGCCACGTTGCACTCAGACGCGACCCCGAGGATGCTGGCGGAAGCGACGGCAGAAGTTGATGTTGCGATCTCAGGTCGACGCCACAAGTTCACTGAGCAGCTGAAGCTCGACGACATGCACGAGACTGCCAGGAAGTTGGCGACTTTCATCGTGTCAAAGAACCTCCTGGGAAGAGAAGGAGCAGGAGCAGGAGCAGGAGCAGGAGCAGGAGGAGGAGCAGGAGGAGACTCTGTTGCAGCATGCGATCGTGCCGAAGACTTTTCGGCCCTATACCTCGGCCAACGAGCTTCAACGATCCCCTTCTCCTCCCTCGCTACCCCTGAGTCTTTGCGCAATGCACTGAAGCTCGACAACTTGCCCATCGTCAGCCGGGGAGAGGACGCGGAGCTTCCTGACTCGATCTCCCTGAAGCTTCTCGAGCAGCGGAGGAAGGCGGCCGAGCGCTACGAGGATGAGCAGCGAAGAGATGCGAGGAGGAGAGATGAGTCCGTGAGACGCCCGGGAAATGGCGAGAAGGATGGGAAGCAGGAGGAGAGACAGAAGGAAAAGCTGCAAGCGCCTGTCACCACGAGCTTCTCCGACAAGACTTGGATCTCAACTGCCCTCGAACCTTCGCCCTCCTCCTCCACGGTCTCTGCGTTGCACCATCGAACCCAAGGAGCTGACAAGAGCTCGGAGAAGGAGGAGCTTCAACGGTACCTGAACAAGAGCAAGGAGCTGAGAAGTTCCGTGCGGTCTCGTCTGGACGAGCTCAGGAAGTCGATGCAGAGCCTGCGAAGAAGAGCGATCGGGAGCAAGCAGAAGGCAGTGGAGCTCGAGAGCGCGAGGAGACAGAGAGGAAGTGGAGTAGCTAAGGGGGGAGGAAAGTCTATGGTAGCCGGGGAAATGCGTCAACTCGATGGTCTCAATGCGATGGCACATGCTGTCTGATCTGGAGGAGGAGGAGGAGGAGGAGGAGGAGGAGGAGGAGAGGACGACAACAGAAGTAGTCTTTGATTATTGTTTCTCTAACAGCAGATTTTGTTTACATGGTCCGTAAGATCTACTGCGTTTGTGTTCTAAATAATAGCACCAGGACGTGTGGGGTGAAGAAAAAACGAAGGGAAAGGGAGGGGGCGAAGATGGTGGAGCAAAAGGGAGAGCGTCTTCGAGAAAGTTCAGGGAGTCTCTTCTAAGGCTGCGAGCGCCATGGACGTAGCGAGGTCGTCGGTCGTATCCATGGATGACTCCAGCTCTCCCCGACCTCCTGACGAGTCAGGCGTCATCGACTTCTTCTGCTTCCTGCTCTACGCGTCAGTTCCCCTCCATCTCCAGCTGTCGCTCACCTCCCCCCTCTTCGTCCTCTCGCACGAGTCTGGCAGGGCTCATCCCCTGCGTAGCATATCCTCTGCATGCGGCCCTCTCCCTCCAAGTCGCCTCCCATGCTCGTCGGCAGGCCCAACGGCTCGCCGAGGTGCTGCAGCATCATGTCCGAGCTGGTGGAGCGGCAGAAGGGGCTCCTCTGCTCTCCGATCGCCTGGGACGTGCTCGAGAAGTATCTTCCAGGGAAGTAGCGACCGTCGGCAGGTGATGTCTCGGCCGTGCTGCTTCCTCCTCCTGTCTCTGAACCGAAGTAGAGTCCAGGTCGCGGCGGGGACTTGGTGGACGACAGCGCAGGAGACTTGGAGGCATCGAAGGCGCTGAAGAGACGTTCCTCGTCCCCCACAGCCAATTGCTTCAGGTCAAGACGCTCTCTTGCTCGCTCTTCGTATCCCCTCGCTCTGCTCAGTTGAGGGCTGTTGGTCGCCCTCTGGTTCGCTCGCTCCATGTCCTTAAGCCTCCCTCGAACGGCATTGACTTCTTCTTCCAGCACCTGCTCTTGGATCAGAGCCCCGCAAAGCAAAAATAAAGGCGCTGCTACCTCTGCAGCCTTCTCCGCCGCAGCTTTCTCCCTGGTGACCTTGTAGATCTTCTTTTCTGCTGCTTCCATTTCGGCCTGCCATTGTACCGAAAGCTGCTCTAGTTGCTGAACCTTGCTCCTCATCTCTTCGAGCTCTTGCTTAGTGTAGTGCAGATCCAAAGCCTGAGAATGGATATGAACATTTAAAAACAGAATCAGAGCATCAGCCGACCTGGGAAGTCAAGTCTCTTGCCGACTGATCTCGTTCCATGCGAGATTGATCATTCCTTTGGCGCATCTCTTCCAACAGCCTCTGCAAATTCTCTACTGCTGCCTTCTCATGCTGTAGTTTTGCTTCCAGCGCAGAATTTCGAGCTTCAAGGTCTTGAATCTGCATAGCTTTCAAGTCCTCTCGCGGCTCCTTGCCGGCAATCTTTTCATCATTGCCATCAGCCTTTGCCAAGGTGTACAGAATGTTGAAGGCTTTGAACGCCGGATTCACATGGCTTGGAAAACGAGGAGCGAAAACGACGCAGGCAGTGATCAGCATAAACGAAGTTGCAAATCCGAGGATGAAGCTCATCTGAAACGACATTCCCCTAGAACACGGACTTGGCTTTCCTGCGGTTGATTTCTCTGCAGTGGTTTCTGAGCAAACTTTGCAAATGGATGAGATCTCGTTGCCGCAAATCTCGTGAGAGGGAATTTCTTGCCTCTGAAGCATGGAGTCACCAACCAAGTGAACACATAAAGTATGCATTACCGGATATTCCGCCATCTGCTCTTTGGAAGCCGAAGGCATGCCAAGGTCACTGAGATCTGCCTTGTTCTTTCTTGGCTTGTCTGCAGCTTCAGAGGCATCATGAGCACGTGGATAGCCTTTCGGCGTCAATGCTTCCCGGGCCACAAGTTTTCCCTGTGACTCCAGTCCTGTACCTGGCTCTGGTGACGCGGAGATTTTCCACCTGCAAAGGTCCTCCTCACCACACTCCTCCAAGGCCGCCTCCCTCGCATGTTGAGCGGAAGAAATCTTGCAGGCTGGATCTTTGCATGCTTCGCCTTTCTTAGTCCGTCTCAAGGTGGCTGTAACACGATACTCTGCATCGATCCTTCGCTCATTTTCGAGCAAGGCATTGCTTCCTTTCTCAGAGAAGGGGCTGTCTTGAACATAATTGCATACGCCAATGTACCAACGACCCGGTGACAAATGTTCTGATGTCACCACGACTCCATGGTGATCGCCTTGTTTTTTGAACTGCAGGAGAAGTGAGTCGGAACAACAAAACACGAGCAGAAACGAGAGGTGAAAGAACAGCATGAATGCAAGCCAAGGCAAACAGCAATATCTATTGGCACCTGATAGTAACTTGCATAGTTGTGTTCGTCTTCAAGTGAGTGACGTAAAATGGGCGAGGCCTTAACCAACAGAAAAAGTTTCGTGGAGCTGCTGTCAAGATCCACGACGAGGTTGTATCCAACGCTTGTGACATTAATGAAATAGTTATGGCAAGAACTTGAAAAAACTCTGCCGGTAACTTGTTGCCCGCTGTTCAAGCTGCCGAGCACCGACGATTTGTACGAAAGAATATTATCTTCCATCGACTCAATGCCGAGGAATCCCACCAGCAGCAAACATATCTTCAAAGTGCATCTACATAACATTGGTAGATTCATGTTCGCTGCAATAGGTTTTGCGATCCCAAACATTCAAATATCCTATAAAGCCTGATTCATTCCTGCAGAAACAGAGGTCACCTACGGAACTTCAAGCTCACGAAGAGTTAGCAACCCTGCTGCCCGAATGCTCGCCTATCGAGAGATCACTCACCCTCTATTTCATGACTCTCCACTCACTACATGCTACATGCTTACTTGCACCCACAAAATACCCCATCTACCTCGACTCTTATTCCTAGCATACCTCATCGCATTCCCCCTGCCCTCCCCCGCCCCATTCGCTCAAATCTTTCTTCTTCATGAAGACTGGATATCCTAATCCTGGCTTGTTCTCGTTCTTCATTTCAGCATAGTCTCTGTCCTCCCCTGCTCCATCGTCGATGCTGCTTTTCTAGTTCCTTTCGCTTCCTCCTCCTCCTCCGCCCCCCCCCCTTCATTTTCGCCTTCTTTCCTAACCAACAACTGACATCTCATCCAGCCGCCCCCTGACACCCCCCCCACCCCTAGTCATCTACCCCACCCTACTTCATCAACAGCCACCATTTATAGTACCCCTAAAATGACACCATAAAATTCCTAAAAGGACCCGTATGAATGTCTCCAAATCTGAAACACCGGTAGAAAGTCGCCCCCGTTGACTACCCCACCTTTTCTGGTCACCAACCAGCATGCCACACACGGACCCACCCAACTTCTTCAAGTTTAACCCCTACCCGGTAAAAATTGCCCAGCTCCTTCATTACCGTCCACTACCCACCCCCTTTGTAGAGGAAAAAGACTTCTCATGACCCCTGGTTGAATTCTCCGATAGACAAAAGCGTACTACCCACCCTTGTAGTTCATAAGAAGTCCACCCCTACCCCTAGTAAATGGAGATGTACCGAACTGGCCCTCTGCTTCAAGGCTAAATTTAGAATCTATTTTGGAAAAGATGTGTTTTCATCATTGAAAAGCTGTCTTTCTAGTGCAGATTGGGACGAGATTGATCTAGATGGGTTCATAAAAATTGTAATGTAAGAAATAAGATATAGCTAATATAGTTTCAGGTCGTGTCTGGGTAATTGTATTTAGCTGGACTCTTTAAATTAGGAATTTTGCAACATGCCCAAGGAAATTTCAGCGAACGCGATTGGGTGGCGAGAAGAGAAGGCGAGGAGGGAGGAGAGAAACTGAGACCCTACACAAGAACAAGTGAGACCCTACACAAGAACGGCAACGAGGAAGTGTTTCTTTCCCTCGAAGTGAAGGCGAGGAAGCTGCAAGTGTAGATTTCGCGGGGCGAGAGGAGGATGCGTGGAACTACTGCATCACAGGGGAGCAAGTGAGGAGCTCGTGCCATGAATGGCAACACTGGGGATGAACAACTACAGGTGAGATTGAGGATTCATGTTTTCAATACAGACTTTGGCGGTAAGGGTTGGATTGAATCTGGCCGTGTTGCTGGCTTGCATGACTTGAGATGACACATGCTTTGAAAGTTAGAGGATAAATCATCTCCGAGAAGCTGTGATGGTTTGACGCGAAGCTGGGTGGATGATGCTTTCCTACCAACAAGCAATGTTAGTGCCATTTGTAGTCTCACTCCATGATGCTTGTATGTTTTAGGTTGCCGATCTGAATTTCGAAGTCTGTTACGAAAAAGTGAAACCAATTGGAAATGCTGGCGCCGGTGATCAAGACATCTTTTGGACGTGTCAAAACTTGTAACGATAAACTGTGACAATATTTCAGCTCTTGTCGGGGACAAGCTGTCTACTGGATTTCCTTGGATTACAACGGTTTGGCTGGAAAGTAACGATATATCACATGAAGGGGTTTCTTTGCTTGCCAAGGGCTTTGAGCGGGTGGGCATGGTGTTGGATGCTTGTAGAAGGTTTGATCTTGATGTGCAGCATGAAACTTTGACCGACCTGTCGCTTGCTGGGAATCCTATCCGCAAAGAAGGGCTGCAAGTAAGAACTGGTCAGTCCCATCCAAAAGAATTCACTGCTATCTCGCTTTACAGTTGACGATCGAGAGCTTCCTAAAGAACCCAAACCCTAGCATAGCACGCCTCAATGTGCGGAGCTGTCAAATCAATGTGTAAGTCTAAAGAACTTGATAAGGCAGCTCGTCTCAAATTTTGTCAGACTTCCCATGGAGATCTCAGAGCTTGATTCGCTCAAGGAGCTGCTCTGTGAGGACAATCCAATCAGATACCCTCCAAAGGATGTAAGTTCGGGATGCTTGTTCCTACCTCATGCAGTGCATTGGGGCAGGTTGCCTTTAGGAGAATAGCAATCCTTCGTCAATTCTTGAAAGCAGCGAAGAATGACACTGCTCATGAGGGCGGTGATCCGGTTGGTGACTAGGAATGACTGGGTGAATGTCGTGACGATGTTGGTGGTTTGAAAGGTTGAAAGAGAGCGTGAAAGAGAGCATCGGTGTGCCACACGTGGATTTTCACGACAACAGATCTCAACATGATCGCTGATATCAGTGCAGGAGTCAGGATCCTACCGCTTCTGCCTTGGACGTGCAATTGCCTGACGGGACGGAGGCAGTGGTACCTGAGACTTGCTCCTTGGCTGTTCGAATGTTTCCAACTGCTCGATCTGCAGAAGCAGGAAGCCTCCTTTGGTTCTTCAGGACTCAATGTGAGCACCTCGAGGTAAAGCAGATGTCTGATTTCACTTGAGTTTCCAGTCAAGATTGTTGTGTTCCTTTTTGATTTCCCGCTTCTCGCTTGCCGTAGTTATAACCCGCATACAACGTTCGTCCATGGAAGTATTTGGTACAGCAAAATGCCGACGATCGATCCTGTTTCTCTTGTTCGAAAGCAGAACGAGGTAGCAGAACAAGAAGAATTCAGGGTGAGATCTGCAACCCTGGTGAATCCTAAAGATTCAGATTGGTTTCCAGATAATTCCGAACATAACTCTCAGATACACTGACGATTAGTGAGAACGCGTCTCGATGCTTCGATCAAGCCGAGCCTTGATTCTAGTGTGGAAATGCTGTGTTGCTCTTGTCTTTTCCTTGTCGTGAGTGATCTCAACTCCAAATCTTGCCATGTCACCTTCCACAATGATGTAAGATTAAAAAATGAAGTTGCGGTTCATATCTCGCCCTTCACAGATCAACACTTCTCTGTAGTTTCTGCTTCGCCATCTATCTCTGCGGTCTACTCCTTCTAACTCAGAATCCAAAAATTGAAGGCACTAATGAAAACAGCGTGAATGTCAAACGCGTCCCACAGCAGCCCATACAGCCGCCAGTTCGGATCAGGACACAAGCTGAGCAAGTTTCATTCACGGCCTCACTATTGCACAATTGTATGATTGCATTACAGGACAGCAAGACTTATCAAGTCCGTTACAGTCAATAACGTAAAGACTGACTGGACTGGTCAGTGTAGCGGCGGTGCTGAGATACTACCACCCGGCTTACATCCTCATCGGTTGCGGTAGGCTGATCTCTGGGCCCGATTGTTGAGGATAACCTCCAGGCTGCTGAGGAAAAGCTTGTTGTTGAGGAGACGCTGGTTTCTGAGAAAACCCGACAGATGCGGAGGTTTGCGCAGCCGATTTGTTGACTGCAGAGCAATGGTTCAGGAGTCGAAGAAGCAATAAGAAGTGAGGCTTACCTCCGAGGTCATCGGGGGAAAAGAAGGACGAGTGTTGCATCTTCGTGCCTGGCACCTTCCCTTGACCATACAGGCGCGATGTGAAGAATTCCACAAAGGGGCTCTTGGGAATTATGTTTACACTGCAGAACAGGCAAAGCCACCGCTCTTGGATGGAGAGGAAACCAGGAGGTGAGTCGAGGTCCGTGATCTTCAATGCATCCTTCTGACTGATGCAGCAGACCTTGCCGGAGTTCTTGTATATCACTCGATTCTCATCGATTGGAGGTTCGCAGCGGCACTTGCTTGTCTGTCGAAGACAACAGCACTTGTTTTTGCACTCACCTCCCAACTGCTTTTCCTGCAACCTGAGGTAATACCTCAAATCTGTCACAATACAGGACGAATCTTCCTCCTGCACATTCTCGAGGAAGCACTGGGTACTCCCGTACCCACAGAGATACTTGTGGACACAAGAACCGATGAGGCCATGGTCGGACAGAATCTCACCGCAGTCAACCGTGTACTGCCTCAACAGACAGCACAGCTTGTCGTCCCAGTCGTACAAGCGGATGCCACCATAGTCTCCTGTGCCCCAGTTCTCGGGATGCTCAAATCCTAGACCAAGGCAATATGCATATCCCAGCCACGAGACATCCCAATCTGAGACCTTGTCCGATGAAAATTGCTGCACATGTACGTCATTTGCGCAATGAGAGATTTCCCTATGTTGGTCACTGTCATGGAAACCGATGGGGCATTTCAAGCTTTCTTATTCGAACGTGCGATCCAAGAACAACGATTGGATGAAGAATCATCATGACAAGATGAAGAGACACTGCATGTAGGAGGACAGGAGAAACTTTGGTGTTGGTGACCGAAAAAGTGGAGTTTGAGGTGACTGTCGCGAAAACAGAACGACATGAAATTCCAAAAGGAATTTAGGGAAAAAGAGAAGTAGGGAAGGGGGGAGCCTGAAAAGTAAAGAGCGAAGAAGGTAGCAAGGTACAGAGGTACCGAACATAGGAAGAGAAGAAAAGAGTGAAAGAGGACAAAATAGGAGAGAAGGAGGGGGGGGGGGGGCTGAGGGAGAGAGGGAGAGCAGAATGCAGAGAGGGGGAGAGACGGTTGGACTGAGGAGGAGAGTAAGAGACAGAGTCTCCAAGAGCAGGAGATGAAAATAGGTGTTGGGGAGGCAGCGCATGCAGGGGCCAAGGCGTTGAGAGCGCAGCAAGCGAACGTCTGTTGTACCGGCATGCTGCTGCTTTCCGAGTTCTTCCTCCTCTTGCCTCGCTAACGTGTCGGAATTTCAGTACTGTCAGGGGGTAGGGGTAGTAATGACGGGTATGGGGTCCACATTTTAGCACCGAGACAATAGGTAATAACTCACCTTGGGGGTGGGGTCCTCACTCGCGCCCCTATTTGGTATCTCTGCCACCTATGTAGCTGGAGGCCGCCAAGGCAAATTGACCGGTACTTCACTCAGTCCGGGGGTAGCTGGCGGAGGGGTGGGTGGGGTCAGTGCCAATCGTTACTATGGTGACCAGTCAGTACTAGTAGATTTTTTAACTTAACTTTGAGTAAAGAAGTGGTAGTGTCGCACTACTAGGCTGAAGGAGACGGTGACTAAAAGTTTTGACTGACTCTGGTCAAAGTTCATAGCGGCCACCGCGACATCGCTGGCATGGCCGCGCGGGGGACTTGTCCTGCGCGCAGTTAAAGTGAAGGTATCCGTTAAGTTTGGGGGACAGCAACCGTTACTTGAGTCATTCCAAGACCCGGCGTACTACCACCGGTACGTCTCTGCGGCTAGGTGATTCGACTTGCCGCTGGCAGTGCAAACGAAGCCGGTCCAGGATCCGACCGGCGATGATGATGGCATGCACGGTAAGCCTGATCAGCTCAAGGCCTCCCCGCCCTCCGAAGTTCGCTGCCCGGCATCATCGAGGGTGCCACTGGCAGTCGGGCCATGATGGCATGGCCTACTACTGAGCCTCGGAGCCGCCCCGGGCCCGGCCCTGCTGCCCGGCCTGCCACTGAGTACGAGTCTAGCTTTCTTCATATCCCTACTAGTTTCGGATTAGGTTTGGTTCTCGCTGTCTTTTCTCTTCTCGCCGTTCAAGTGGCCTGTGCGACGGTGTCAGGGTCAAGCCTCCTCGACTCTCCTGATTGTCCTCGTACTGCTTTTTAACTTAACTTTGAGTAAAGAAGTCAAGTTTCAAGTTTCCACCCGGGCGGGGATCGGGTAAGTTACCTTGCAAGAACTAGGCGGGGCCCGGCCGGGGGGCCGCGGTCCCCGGGCCTAGTCACTCGCCGCGCCGTCGGAGTTGATCATACGCAGGGCCCAGTGGGCTGCCGGGCGGCCCGGCCGCTGCCGCTGCGGTGCGTGGCATCCTTCGGCGGGGGGCACAGGCAGGCAGTCGGCCCGTGACATGCGGCTGGCATGGGCCGGGGGGTGGGGGGGGGGGCGGGGATCCTGCGTGTCACTGGTAGTGTTAAGTGAAGGTATCAGTTGCTGAGTTCAAGTTGGGGGAGCCTTGGACGGCGCTGAGTAGTGACTGAGGCAGGATGAGGATTCAATGATTGGTTCTCGCTGTCTTTTCTCTTCTCGCCGTACGGCCAGTATGGCCTGTGGCCGCTGTGCTCCCGTCGGACAGTGTCATGGTCAGTTGAAACCTCCTCTACTCTCACTGAGTCCTGATTGTCCGACTCGTACTCGGATTTTTAGTTGAACTTTGAGAAAAGGAGTGGCCAATACATGACCGTGTGATTCAACGGTCCGAGGCTCGTTCAGATTTGAGTAAAAGTTGGGTACCACTACGACTTCGACGCCCCGCGGCCCGAGCCGGGCCGGCCCGAGCCGGGCCGGGCATTAGGCGCAGCTCAGCACAGGGATCAAGTTATTTATCGCTGCTGTGGTGACAGGGAATCAGGTAGAGACAATGAGAGAAAATCAATCAAGTTTCACACCTCAGGCTTCACTGGCGTGCTCCGGCTGCCAGTAGTTAAGCGTCAGCCAGCAGCCCGTCGATCTTCTTCCTGTTCTCCTCGTTGCCTCGCGCCATCGACTCGAGCGCTACGGAGCCCTTCCTCTGAAAGTCCGCCTCCTCCTTGTGCAACCTCATCGCAGTGATGACCGCCTTGATGCCCTCGGGCCGGACTCTCTCCTGGTTCTCCCTGTTGGACTCGCACAAGTGGCCGAGGGCAGCGCAGCCAGCCTCCAACAGCAGAGCGAAGGTCGAGTGTGCCCTCATGGCCGCTACTATCGCTTCGATGCCCATGGCCCCCCTGATCTTGTCCTGGTTCTCCTTGTCCGACCGCGCCAGCACCCCCAGGGCATTGATTGCCGCGTACTGGACATCCTGCTGGCAAGGCAAGGCCTGCATAGCCGCCATGATGGCCTCGATGCCCCCTGCATTTCTGATCGCCATCCGATTGCGTGGATTGCCGTCCGCCATCAGAGCAAGGTGAAAGGTGCCATCCTTTTGCACTTCCTCGTTCCGTACGAATGCTTTCAGTGCTGCCAGGATGACCTTGATGCTGTCGGCTTCTGAAGCCAAGAGTTGGGAAGCCTTGTTGACGCCAATCAGCACGTTGAGAGCTTTGATGCCGTGCATCTGCACAGTCACATTTTTGCGGTGCACCTTCATGGTACCTATGATCTTTGGGATTCCGTCGAGTTCCAAGATCCTATCTGTGTTGACGGGGTTGGAGTTTGCAAGACAGTGCAGTGCTCGGCATCCTTCTTCCTGAACTCTAGCCACTTTCCCGTAGGTCTTCATGGCCGATTCGATAGCATCGATGCCACCCACTGTTCTGATGGCATCCTGGGTCGGCATGCCCAACAGAGCCAAGTTCGCAAACGTCTTGCAGCTCACCTCCTGAAGCGCCCACATGTCGTGGTGGTTCCGCATGGTCAGCATGACAAATTCGACTCCTCCGTGCTTTTGAAGCCTCGCACAGTTCTGCAAAGTGGAGGATGCTACAGTCAACAAGATGCTCCCCTTCAGCTGCAACTCCCCTCGCATCTTGTGCATCAACATGGTATCCATGATTGCCTCGATCGCGCCAGCCTCCCCAAACATCCTACAGGTCTGCATCTCTCCCTCTCCCCAGAGGGAGAACAACAAGGAGAATGCTTGCTCCGCAACTTTCAAGTTCTTGCCGTGATTCCGCAACGCAGCAATGGCTACCTCGATACCACCCGCATTCCTGACCCTCTCCACACCGGCTTCTTGATCTCCTCCTATGCTCCTCAGAGCAGCGCACGCGCATTCTTGAAGCTCGCGCTTCTTCGGGAATCTTTTCATCGCTGTCACAACTGCCTCAGCTCCCCCGGCCTGCCGAGCCCTGGCTGCGCTCTTGGGCTGGTAAGGCACAGGTGCTAGGTAGTCACCAATAGCCAGTTCTATGTACGAAGCGAGAGCAATGCAACAGGAACTCTGCACATCCGCGTCTCCTGCATGGAACTTCATACATTCCACCATCAAGTCGATGGCGCCCTCCTCCCTCACGATATCCAAGTTTGCCACGTCCTCCTCGATGGCGACTTGCAAAATCATCGCACCGCATGCCAGGGCACACGTGTCTTTCATGACATGTTTAATGCAGGAAATGACTGCCTTGATCTGCGAGGGACTGCAGTTGACCGCGTAACCCTCCTCAATTTCCTCTGCAATCATCATCAGCGTGAAACCATGCTGACCAGGGTTGTTGCTAGCCTCAATCAAACTCAGCTTGTACTGGATCAATTCATCGCTCTTCTTGGACTTTCTCCCGCACTTCTGTTTCTTGGCAGATTTCTTCTTCGTCGGGCATTCTGACCAATCTAATTGCGTCTTCGAGGCCACGGGGCTCATGCACGTCGAACTTTCGGCTGTCGAATCTTCCATCTCGGCTTCGAATGTGCGGGATATCGAATCACTGCCAGGACAAGAGCTGTGCGGGAGCGGGGGAAACCGTTGAAGGATCAACGGCGGGGAGGATATCTCAGATGAGCCCGAGGAAGGGAGGATGTCTCAGATGAGCACGAGGAAGGGAGGATGTCTCAGATGAGCACGAGGAAGGGAGGAAAGAGAGATGTGCAAGAGGGCGAGGGGGAGAGCAGCGCGAGGGCACCCACGAGTGGGACTGGCGGGGAAATGATTGCCCTGCCCTTGGGTGACGAAGTACTACCCTTCAAAAATGGAGCTTTTTGGTGAAATTTTTGAGGGGTAGGGTGGTGATTCAAATTTGAATCCTCTATCTCCGACGGCGACTCGCTGCTCAGCGCTTGTCCCGGTCCGGACGGCCCGGGCTACACGGACTTGCCTTTACTCAAAGTTAAGTTAAAAAACAGTACGAGGACAATCCTTCCGAGCCGTACTGATGACTCTCACATAATGAACCCTCCACCTGCCGCGCCAAACGGTTGAACCTTGCAGTCACTGAACAATGACGAGGTCTGGATCCGGGAGGCAGGAGGTGCCGCACGGCCATGGGCGCACACCCCGACAGCCCTGCCGTACAGGAGCCTGCCAGGCGCCGTGTGCGGGCCTGGGCTGGCAAACCTTGCATTGGCACTGACAACAACACGGTTTTGTTGTCTTGTAGCTCGTAGAAGTGGTTGAGCGGCAGCTAACGTCAGTGATTCCCTCAAGCCCCTGTGCCTCTCGGATCCACTTGCTGCATGTGTACTGGACGAGGCAGGCTCAATGGGTGTGTGTTGGGAATAACATAGCTAGATATACCTCCAAGGGACACGAGGACTGCAACGACTAAGGATTCTTCCCACATACAGGTGTGCAGGAGCCTGTTGGCTCGAATGTCGAAGTGACAAGAGGATCAAGGTGTAGATGATATCACTCTTTCAGAGATGTCTTGCACAACGTTGACGACCAGTCCACGTGAGATGTCGAAGGAAAGAGACTGAGAGCGCTTTGTGTTTCAGACTTGAGGCGAGCCAGGAAGGGGTCGGAACGGCAGCAGTGTCCGACAGTCTTGTGTTGACAGGCAAAGACGAGCAGCTCGGTCACGGTAAGTCCAGAGATCCTCTGGTCAGCCCAAGGATGAGTAGCGGCACAGGAGCTCTCCGATCGCCAGCCGATAGAGGGTTGATGAATCCCCTTGCACGTGCTCACCTGCCCATGGTCCATGACCGCTGCTGGGGACACACTCTGTACTTGCTGCTGGGGACACACTTCGTACTTTCATTTTTCGCATCATTCTGCTCTGATTTTTCGCTACCTCAAATCCCATCTATTCTCATAAGGATTTTTCACATTGAGTTGAAAGTTTTCATACAGTAAGAGTGTGAGAAATAATCTCTATATCATAGCAGGGTGAAAAGTTTTAAAGAGATTGTGAGAATCGTGATAAGAAAATCTCGCATAAGTTTCAAAGCCTTAGGGCTTCGCCCATGGGTCAGCGACAAAGTCGCTTCCCACCTGTTTGCTCGATAAAGTGCTTCGCACCAAGATCTCCTGATTGTGATCGTCAAGAGTCTTTATCTTCTGCCCAGCCAGCATCACTGGCGGCGAGCAGGATGTTCTGAAGCTTGTTGCCTACAGAGGTGGTTCCCTCTCGATTCCAGCGGAGTTTGTGGGATGTTTGTAGTCCAAACATATTGCAAGGGATCAGAAGCTGCGAAGAGGTCTTTGACTTGAGGGCGACGGCGACGTTGGGATAGTGAGGTGGTGAAGCTAATGTCTGGCCTTGTCAAAGCTTGTATGTCGAGATTGCTTTCAATAGCAGCCTGATAGAACTTGTGTTGCGATTATGTTGTCTTAGAAGATGACGTCGTCTTTGGGAAGGAGCAAACATAGGAACGAGGGGGAACGATTGTTGTCAGCTTCAGGAGAGCTTCAAAGCATACTTTTCCAATGAAATGCTCTTGGAAGAGAGTGAAGGCACCTTGATCTAGGTCTTGTTCAAGCGGTGCTCACAGGAATAGTTGAGCTCTTGTCGGAGAGGAGGAAGGTTGTACAGGAGAGTCTATAGATCGCATCGTTGATGACAAAGAGGATGTCTGATGTAATCTGCCTCCTTCTGACCTTCGACTCCCAAGTTCTGCTTGCAGTCTCTTTGGTACACCTTGTAATACGGCAACGGAAACGTACCTTCCAACATCTTCTTCATAGTATCCTACTACACTAGTATAGATTTGAGCTGTAGAGTATTGCTTGCGTATCACCACGCTCTCTGTCGCTATACGTCCAGAATGTCGACCATGTTGGAAACTGAGCACTGTTTCGACTGCTGTGTTCCACTTCCAGTGTGAAAGCATAGTATCTTGAAAAAAGCCTCTTTCCCGTTGCCGATGTCTTCAACAGCACCTTCCATACAATCGTTTCTACATGTTCATACAAGAAAATCATTCTGAATGAGACAAACTCGCTCGACATGCTACTGGCATGCGATACCTACCCTTCAATATCAGAGGCCATGTCAGTATCTTGGTCTCGAACATGGTTTCGCACTCCAGTTCGCTTGACTCCATAGTTATACTTTTGGTGACCTTGTGCAGATACCAACTCCAAGAGACCGCTGCAGTAGCCGTCGACCTTCCTCAATCTGAAATCACCCTTGCTCCTCACTCCCTGCTTATCCTCAAAAGCAACTCTGGATATCTCGGCTGTCTATCTTCAGCTACTGTGCGCTTACTGTGCATTGCTCGGGTGCAGTGCCAGTGGGTGTACATACGGGTGAACATCAGAACAACGTGCGACGAGTCGCCTCCTACTGTAGCTTCAAACCGCTGGTGAGCTTGAAGCCTGTATGACTGAGTGTGTGGTTACCCCTGGTAAGCTTGAAGCCTGTATGACTGAGTGTGTGGGTTAACCCTGGTGAGCTTGAAGCCCGTATGACTGAGTGTGTGGTTACCCCTGGTAAGCTTGAAGCCTGTATGACTGAGTGTGTGGGTTAACCCTGGTGAGCTTGAAGCCTGTATGACTGAGTGTGTGGGTTACCCCTGGTGAGCTTGAAGCCCGTATGACTGAGTGTGTGGGTTACCCCTGGTGAGCTTGAAGCCCGTATGACTGAGTGTGTGGGTTACCTCTGGTTAGCTTGAAGCCTATATGACTGAGTGTGTGGTTACCCCTGGTAAGCTTGAAGCCTGTATGACTGAGTGTGTGGGTTACCCCTGGTGAGCTTGAAGCCTATATGACTGAGTGTGTGGGTTACCCCTGGTTTCTTCTCTCCGACGCTCCTCCGCCCTCTCTTGCTCCTCCATCTTCCCTCCCAACTCGTGTCGGGCAGGGGGGTCAAGGACGGGTCATTTTATCTTTGAAATTTGGGGTGGGGAAGGGGTGGGGGGGTACAGGCGTTGAGTCGTAATGGAGTGAGGCATGCTGCAAGTGCGAACAGAAGAGGAACGAAGCGAAGAAAACAGAGAAGGAGAAGGAGAGGAAAGAGCAAGAGAGGAAGGAGGAGAAGAAGAAGGGAAGGGGAGAGGAGAAGGAAAAGGATAAAGGCGGAGGAAGACAACTCAGCAGAGATTGCTGTGCTTGAACCATGCGTGAATGTCTAAAGGAACCTCGCTTCTTCCTCGTTGAGACATGACATGTCTGGTCGATTCATTCTCACTCTACTTGCGCTGGTCAGCTCCTGGCTGGCTTCAGGCCATCTGCTAGCCTCAGGCCATCCTCTACCCTGCTTCGAACGTGGCAGCATCAGTGCCAAGCAATTGAAACAGCTGAGATGTTACAGGGGTGTGAGTAGATTGAGAGGAGGGGGAATCTCCGGGTTTCAGCGATGGTTCACCCAGCAGTTTCCGTCGGCCGTCATCAAGGCGACTGAAGATCAGCATGAGGAGTTCGACCATGTCCTCTTCGACATGAACGGCCTCCTCCATACCGCGTGTCGGAAGGCCAAGGACTTCGAGCATGCAATACTGAGAGTGTACAAGGAGCTGGATGCTACCTTGCGCACCCTGATACCCACCAAGAGCGTCGTACTGGCCTTCGATGGCCCGGGGCCCTTGGCAAAGCTTCTCACTCAAAGGAAGCGCAGGAACAAGTCGTCCAAGGCCTCCAAGTACAAGCTCAGTGGCCTGCACATCACCCCAGGAACGAAGTTCATGCAGACGATGAGGGAGGCTTGCGAGTACTATGCTGCCCTGCGGCTTGTGGCATCAGCCAAGTTCAAGAATGTTGCTTTCTACATTTCGGGCGCAGATGTAGCTGGTGAAGGTGAGATCAAGATCATCGAATGGATTCATAACCTGCTTCAGAACCAAAATGACGAGAAGATCATAATAGTTGGAGGAGACGCTGACCTGGTGCTTCAGGGCCTTGCAGTGCTTCGGGTCAAAGATCTGTTCGTCTATGCCGGCAAGGACATGTCGCAGCATCCCAGCAGCAGGAAGGCCAAGGGAAAGTCTTCTCCCTCCATCGTCCTCAGCATGTGGGAAGTTGTCCGCAGTCTTGAGAGGTTGTTCCCTGGCCAGTCACAGGCAGTTCGTGCAGACTTGATCGTCCTGATGATCATGAATGGCAACGACTACTTGCCGAAGGTGCGCGGAGGTAGCTTTGAAAGCTTCTTCAGAGCCTACAAGAAGGTGAAGGCGATGATTGGCGTACACTGATCTGTGACTCTTTTTGATGAATGACTAGGTGAAATCGATGGTGGATTTTAAGGACAGGTTCCTGCTCAACGGAAGTGAAAAGATGTTTGACTGGAAATTCTTGCACGCGTTCATGTCGCTAGTGCAGAAGGATGTCCCTCCAATCCCGTCCTACACCCCTTTGGACATTTTAGATCGAATGGCGGACACAGACTCGAACGTGCTCCAGCGGCAGGACTACGTTTCAGAGTTATCCATGTACTATCAGAGGAAATACAAACAATCAGCTGCTGAGTTGAATGTTTCATCTTCCCAATTGCCCAACACGAATTGGCAATGCACCATCATGTGGGAGGGGAAAGCGTTTGTCGGCGAGCCTGAAAGGAGCATTCGAGCAGCCAAACAGGTGAGTACACGTTGCTTCTTGCTCCGTGTCAAGATCTGAAGTCTCATCTCCCTAGAATGCTGCGAAGGAAGTTCTTATTGCATGCGGAATCATCCCTGACGACAAGGCGCAATTGGAGGAGGAGGCTGCCATGGTTGGCAATGGCAGAAATTTGACCACCATTACCCAGCAGGACAAGCAGAATCTTGGCATAGAACCAGCGGAGATGAGCGATGAGGGAGGCGCAGAGCTTGTTGAGTCGTACGAGAAAGCTTTGAACGAGTCAGAATCAGAAGAGGCCGAGTTGGATGAAGACGACAACCTGGCTGGTTCATCCCTACCTGAGGATGATGAAGAAGAAGATGAAGACTGGGACGAAAACTTCGAGTATGAAAACGTCAAGATAGAATATGAAGACATGCTGAAGGCCTCTCAAATCCCTTTGGATAACCGTGCTTTCGACAAGGTGTCAAGAATGCCCTTTAACATCCCAGACTACTTCGAGAGCTTGTTATGGAACATTCAAATGTACATCGATGGGTATGTCCCGGACTACTTCTACACGTACAATTTCAAGTTTGCTCCAGACGCCAAGAGCATTGTGAAATGGATCGAATCTGAGGACTTTGCACCTTTCCCTGAGCTGAACATTCCGTACTCGGAATGCCGAGCCCTACAGCCACTCCACGCTTGTCTGGCCATGATGCCTTCGACTTCACCCGAGTTTGTTCCCAAGGCCTACCAGTCCCTCATCTGCGAACCCAGCTCAAGGCTTTACCAAGTGCTCAACGTGGACTCGAAGGATTTTGATGTTCCGGAGTTTCTGGACATCATGAACACGATTGATGGCAGACTCCTCACCCCAGAGGAAGAGATACAAACTCGGGACAATGGCTGCTGGAGTATTTTCTTCCGCACCAACAATTACCGGATGAGCAACTTCGCCAGGGGAAGAACGAAAGCGCAAGCACGAGACCCGGATGAAGTTCTGCTGCTGGGCTTGTCACAACCCAAAGTGACCCTCGAGACTCTGACGGAGACAAACATGCCTCAGCCTCCCAACTCCAAGACTTCGAAATTCAGGAAAATTTTCGTGAGGTGCGTCAACATGAGAGAGGGTTTTTTGATCCTCTGATCGTTCACACGTGACTCAATCAGGAAACCGGACATGCAGCTCCTCAAGATTCAAGCTCAGGACTTTCCTCCTTGCCTTGCATGGCCAACCCTCGAGCGGATGGATGACGACAAGAGTCTTAACTTCGCCTACGGAGACATCCTGTCGATCCCGTGAGTCTGCTGACCCAGTGCACATGCATGTCCTTATCCTGGACTCCAGGTACGCGCGTCCTTTCCGGATCAAAGATCCCCCCTCAGTGCCAGAAGCTCCTCTCAATGGCACCCGACGAAATGGCTGAAGAGTTTCATGTCAATTGTTGGTGATACCAAAAACATCACCCTTGGTGATACCAAAAACATCACCCACAATTGTAAGCGATAGCGAACTCATGATGAATAATTGTTAGCGATAGCGAACTCATGATGAATAATTGTAAGCGATAGTGAACTCATGATGAATAATTGTAAGCGATAGCGAAAAACAACAGACGACGAGATTGTCAACTTTTCAATGTTGGGTTGTCAAAATGTTGTGTTGACCCCACCACCACAACCCTTCAAGCCACGGGGTCCATCCAGACTTGCAGCCAGGGTAGATAAGAAGATAGGGGGTACTATTATGAGGAAAAGGGGGTCATTCGAATTTTGACGGGGTAGCGGTGGTTAGTACAGGTGGGTCATCCGGAAATAGCGATCATGGCTGCGTAGGCTTGAAACGAATATGGCGGAAGAAGACGTCGAAGCATTCCCTTCCTCCTCCTCCTCCTCCTCCTCCTCCTCCTCCTCCTCCTCCTCCTCCTCCTCCTCCTCCGTGTATCCCTCTAGCTTGCTTCTCGTTCGCCAATCCCCCACTAGGAGCACATCGCCGCTCTTCCGATATGTTTCGCTATCGGTGATCTTTGTATCGGCGCTTGCGCTGGGAGGCGTTCTGGTACATGAGAGGAGGTATGGAGGAGAAAACGCGCTCAGGTCCGTCCAGGTTTCAAGGAATGAGGAAAGGGATGAGTTGCTAGACGACCAAGGTAGATTGTTTGACAGAGGTCAGAGGAGCTGGTAACAGTCTTCGCAGCTCTGTCGTCAACCGTGACAACCGTCCGGGTAGCGATCAAGGTCCAGCATGCTTACAAATTGAGTGAAAACTAAGCTCTGGGTGTAAGGCGGCATGCGAGGGAAACGAGGGGTCGAGAGGGCGTGGGCGGAGCGATAGTGCATGTGGTAGTGTTACCAGCACAGGAAGGGTGGCGCCGTCCTTCAACGACTGGTAGGCAGCCGATTGCTGGAGAGGTACTGAGCTTGATTGCAGGTTGGACAAGGAAAACTCTAAGATCCTTGACTATGACGGGCTCCGCAAGAAAAAAGCTTCTGCGTGGACTATTGGGAAGCTTCAGTTTCATCAGGACAAGATCATTCAAGCGATGAAAGTATCCGATTCTTTCAAGTCCATTCGACTTCTTTCTCATTGCGTTCCAGGCCGCTCAGTGGGCGAAGCACATTCTTGACTACGGGAAGAGCGAGAAGAAGAAGTTGGACGTGGGATGGTACCCGGCTTGTTTCCAATCTGGTTCCAACGGTCTTGTTCCATGCATCGCGGAGAAGTACAAGCCGCTCTCTGACTGGTGAGAAGAGTTTCGTTGGTCTTGAGAGTTTGGTTTCTCTTTCAAGCTGACAGGCATGATCAACAGGTACCAACAGGCTGAAGATGACTTCTTGCACCACAAGAAAGTTGTATACACTTACCCTGGTGTCAAAAACAGCGCAGGCTTCTCCAAGGATTCTATTGGGAAAAAGATCAACATACACTATGGATCTGTCCCTTATGGCTCGTACAAAGGCAAGTCCTGGGAAAGATCGTCAAGCAGCCAAGTCGGAGTTCAGCCGCCATCGAACGATTTCCCAAGAAAAGATTCTCAACATCCCTCCCCCTCCCCGTCCTCCTCCGATGAACGCGACGAAGACTCAACTGACTATGAGAATTATTTCTCTGACGATGAAGATAAAGGTAGCAATGCAGGGTCAGACGAGCAGATTGAGGAAGGAGACAGCAATCAAGATGAAGATGAGTCTGAAGAGAACAACGATCACGTTGAGAAAGAACAAAAGAGCAATTCAAAGCCTGACGCACATCAGAAATCTACAAAGCATCCGACTGCAGACAAGGTCAAGGATGAAGATGAAGATGAAGATGAGGGCAGCAAGGAGAAAGTGAAGAGTGTCGACCAGCAAAAAGATGACGATAAGGCTCCGAAGCACGATCAAACGCAAGAGAAGAAATTGTCGGACGAAGATGCTGACAGGATTGTCAGCAAGATTGTTGACAAAATCTCAAGCTCAGTGAAGCAGAATTTTGATGAAAGTCCGAAGAAGCACTCTTCGATTGAAGCTGATGTATCGGCGTCATTGAAGAACAGCATCAAGGAACTGGCAAACGTGATCAAAACTCTTTCTGACAAACTCTCGCACATGAGCTGGGACACCAAAGTCACCGTTCCTGTCGTCGTCAACGTCAGTGTTCCACATTACAAGAAAGACGACGAGGAGAACAAGCCTCCGACCGGTCACGAGAAGCAAGTTTTGCCAAAGCAAGAGAGCTCAGTGGTAGAGAGTCTTGATCCTCCGATATTCCTGCCTGCTGGCGGCCTCTTCATCAACTCGGTCGGGATCAACATCTCCAGTGCTGACAACAACTCCAAGGTCTGGTTCCGTGTACAAGACTTAAACAAGGAGGAGACTGAGGAGGACAAGGAGAACAGTTTTTCTCTGTTCTCCAGCAGCATCTTCTTGGGCCCGGGGAACTTCACGGTGCAGGCATACGTGGAAGAGGAGGGTTTCAAGAACAGCTCAGTAGCCTCCGAGACGTTCAGAGTGGTGGACTGCGGAGAGGATCAATGCTGCTCCTGGCGGGTAGAGCGGGAGAGACTTATCTTGTATCTAGCTCAGGTACCTCCCAAGCTCCTCCCTGCCCTCCTCAAGCCACAAACACCTCTAGATCCTCCTTCCTCCTCCTCCTAGATCCCCACCTTATGTTCTTCGTCTCCATTCGCCTCGTTCCCGTCTGAGAGGTCTTGGTTGCCGCAGATGAAGCAGAGGAAAGAGAAACTTCAGTCCTCGTTGGTCAGGGCGAGGAATGAGATGGAAAGGTGACTCGTAGCTGGAGATCATCTGTGCTGTGCTGGTCACAGCCATTTAGGTTCGAAGAAAGTTTCCTTGACTCAAACGCCAAGTATGAGAGCGCAAAAGAAAATGTGAAGGATGTGAAAGATGGTAATCGGATTCCTCCTCTTCCTCTTTCTCTTCTTCTGTCCGTTTCTCTCCACCTCCTGTCCAGCTGGTCTCCGATTCCTCTCCGCTCCTCTCCTTCATCCTCTCCCGCCCCCCCGCCGCTCTTCACGGCTTCGCTTGTCCTCGTTGCTTCCTCAGCTCTTCTTGTCCTCCGCGTCTCGTTGATTTTTGCTCATCTGCACGGAAGGTTTGTCATACGCGGAAGGCTACGAAGAGAAGTGGAGGATCACGTACGAGGGCTCACTGAAGCTGCTGGAGCAGGTAGCCTCCTCTTCCTGCTGCGCTTGCCTTGTCTGTCTCCTTCTTCCCCTCCTCCCTTTGCGCTGTTTATTTGCTTTGATCTCCTCTACATTCTCCTCCATCGCCTCCTCGTCTCCTCTGACCGTCGACTGCCAGACGAAGGGGGAGGTGCAGGGAAAGATCGCAAGCCTACTCGACGAGCGCGAGCTCATCCTTTTCATCTTGAAGCAGCTTCAAGCTGAGAACGCGACAGCAGCAGAGACGTTGAGAAACGTCAAAGATGTCAGCCTGTGAGCTGAGAAATGTCAAACCTGACCCCCTTAGCAGAAGCTCTCGATGATCGCCGACTCTCCAGCTTGGGATGGTTTCCAGAGGCTGCTGGAGGCTGCGAATCACTCGGACCCTCAAGGTCTGTAGACAAGTAAAAAGAAGGGAAGGGAAGGGAAGGGAAGGGAAGGGAAGGGAAGGGAAGGGGGCGATGATGAAGAAATAGAGAGGTAGAGAGGACGATGATGATGATGATGATGATGATGATGATGATGATGATGATGATGATGATGATGATGATGATGATGATGATGATGATGATGATGATGATGATGATGATGATGATGATGATGATGATGATGATGATGATTTTACAGGAGTGGAGAATGCGGTGCAGACTTTGACAATATCGAATGAAGTTGCGTCTACCTCGGAGATTCGTGCGGTCGTGAAAATTCTCCAAGAGATGCTCGACGAAATCGACAGCAGGACATCAGTTTACAAGTCACTCCTGATATCGCAAGAAAACCAGGTGGGAGGAAGAATAGGATGAGGGAGAGGGAGAGGTGGGAAGGAGTAGAGGAAGTTGAGAAGCAGCATGAGGAGGATGGTGGAGTAGCTCAGGGAAGTGAAGATGCGGGGGCAGGTGAAGATGAATCATTTCAAGCTCACTTCATGGGAACGGCAAATGCACAAGATGTCTAAGGAGGTGAGGAGGGAGGAGGGAGGAGGGAAGAGCTGTTGACGGCTGCCAGCTGGAGGAGAAGGAAGAAGCTATCAAGCAGCAGGGAGCTCGGCGGATGATCTTTGCGGGAGAGCATGAAGTGGCCAAGCAGACCCTGAGCGAGCTTGAAGCTCAAGTGCCTGCGCAGGTGTGACGATGGCTGGAGGTGGCAGAGAGAAGAAGCGGAGGAGGAGGAGTCAGATAGGAGCGAAGGCGGGAGAGAGGGAAGAAGGAAACAGTTGTGGGAAGAAGAAAACAGGAACATGGAAGTGAGAGAATGGATGAAGAGGAGGTGAGGAGCACGGAGCGAGAGAGGGACGAGGACGAGGACGAGGACGAGGACGAGTTGGTGGTTGAGGATCTAAAAGCCTGTTCAGATGTCGATGGTGACAACAGACATTGCCTCTGCTCGTCGCTTCCTCGTCCGCGTCGATCATTTCGTGACTGTTTGCAACTCTTCCAGCAGCGGCTCCTTGCTCGATGTCCCTCTTCCTCCCCGTGGATGGCTCTACCCCGGCATCCCACAAGAGAGGAACGAAGGAGGAACAAACGAAAGAGAGAAGGAAGGAGACGAAAAGGAAGGAGGAGCAACAGACGGAGGAGAGGAGGGAGAAGAGAAGGAAGCAGGAACAAAGAAAGGAGGCGGAAAGGACAAAGATGTGACTGTTAGCAGCGAGAAAAGTCCAAAGGCAAACGAGGAGATGGAGAAGTTGATGAAAACTCTCAAGATTCTTCACAATATCAAGAAGAGCATGGGGCGGAATTGATAAGAAGAATTGACAGGAATGGGAAACGAAAGAGAGATTGCTTATTGGTATAACATGTATATTCAATGTATGTTCATCCAAATGATGCGATATCAAGGGAGAAGGTTGTTACATTCATTGACAACTCTCCTGTTCTCTCTTCACCCCTCTTCTCCTTTTCGAACTTCTCTCCAACTCTCCACATCCTCCCACCTCCTACTCCCCAACTCTCTTACTCCTCCCGCATCTTCTTGGTTTGCTTCCTCTTCAGTGCAGGTCGAAGTCGATGATTCCTTTCTCCTGCTGCACGTCAGCTCGGCTTGTCCTGCAGGCCCCGCAAACTTCTCACCTTGGCCAACTCGAGGTACTCCGAGTGCATCGGGGTTGGATCAGGGAACCCTGAAGAGACTCAGTGGAGAGGAGAGGCAGCGAGCATGAGGAGGTGAGCAGTGGGGGAGGGAAAGCGGTAACAGGAATCGAGGAGGGAAAGAAGCACAAGGAGGAGAAGTTGGCGGTGGTGGTGGAGTGGGTTGGGGATGAAGGAGTAGTAGCAGCAGGAGAAGGACGAGGAGGACGAAGAGGAGGACTATGTAACGGGAGTGCAGGGGGAAGGAGAGTGGCGGGAGGAGCAGGATGAGATAGAAAGGGGCAACGCGGGCAACGCGGTTGGAAAAGTTGAGAGCAGAAACGAGGAGAGCAGGGGACGACGAGGGTCTAGGAGAAGATTTCTCACCAATCTGCTTTGCCTGCTGGGAGAAAGTGTACCAGAAGCCGTTCCTGAAGGGATACTGCTCGATCTGCGAAACCCGTATGACGATCAGAGGAGGAAGGGAGGATGAGGAGCGAAGGAGACACGGAAGGTAGAAGACAAGACGGGGTGTGACCTTGCAAGGACGGAACTCAACATTGTCATGCTGCGAGTAGGCGAACAATCTCTCTTCCACACCGTACATCAACGTCACTGCAAGTGTTCCTGGAAGAGACTGCAAGACGTTAGACAAGAAAAATGCACGTGAAAGACTCATGACAACAAGAAATACAGATGACATAGTAACATGACAGTTGACATAGTAACGTTACAGATGAACATCATATGACATGACGATTGCGTCATTGCGATGTTTTACCCTTGCAATCTCCGTAATCATCTCTTGACATTCTTCTGTGTGACTTTGGCCAACCTCTCCGATGCTGATTCCTTTGTTCAACGCACCCACAAGCGGAAACACGCTGTCGAAGATAACCTGCTCCCTCATCTCTCAGTGATCTCATGCTTCACCCCTACCCCCTCCCCCCTTGGAACTACCCCCTTCCCGTTCGCTTCTTTGCTTCCTCCTCCCCTCCCGCACCTTTTCCAGCATCGCCCTCCTCCAGTCGCGGTAGAACATCGTCCTGCTGTGCCTGTGGCAGCTTCTCACTTCACCTCTCGCCCCCTTCCCCTTACAAGTTCAGTCGGTCTAGTCGCTGCTTCAGCGCGCCCGCCCACTTCCCGCAGATGCTCGTCTCTCCCGCGTACTTGGGCTCCCCGTACGCGTCTGTTCCCAAGTCCTGCACGGGTTGATCAAACAACCGAGGGGGAAGACAAGGATGAGGTGGATGGGGGAGAAACGTGGCGAAGAATACGGAGACAGAGGAAGTGGGACAGGAGCATGAAGTGAGGGGAGAGGGAGGAAGGAGCGAGAGAAAGCAAGGTCCTCACGACAAGACTATCTTGTGGTCGTCCTCCCTTGGAGAAGAGGGTGAAGTAAGGAAGCATCTGAGTGTTCTCGTTCCCGCACAGAGCGTACTTCTTGAGGATCGGCTCGATCATACCATCCTGCACAAACACAAGGTCGTCGAGCTTTGACTGAGGGCAGGAACGAATCACATTCTCCAGCTCTGACGTAGGGACGCACACGTACACCGGAAAGCTCTCGAGCCCCTCGTGGACCTCAGGGATTTGCCCTCCTCGCCCCACCACAACGTCGTCCCCCCCCCCCGCTCCTCTCAGCATCTCCCCCACGCGTCCGCCACCGACAATGACAGAGGGAGTATCGACAGATGCAACCTGCTCCTTGCCTGACAGCAGGTCCTGATACTCCTCCAACGCCTGTGGGTTGCTCCACACCTGCATCCTCCACCCATGACGAGGGCAGGCACGAGGACGGAGTGACTGAGACCAACAGGATGGGCTGACGCGGAACGACTGGGAGGGGAGAAAGAGCATGACGACCCACGAGAGTCGCACGAGACTTTTCAAGTTCATCTGCCAGTCATCCATCAACTTTGCGACAAAGAAGCCTCCCACACAGAGCGAAAAAAAGCATGCGCCATCATTAAAACCTTTCTATTATGCTTTTGCACAATTTTACACTTCTATCACTTGATCATTCCGAGACCTTTTCTCTCTTTTCTTTCATTATAAAAACCAACACTCAACAAACCAACACAACTCGAACCAAGTCCCCATGCCTATTGCTCGCGAATGCCTCGCGTCGGCTCCTCCTATCCATCTCTTTCTTGAAACTGCTTTCTGGCTGCATTCATTTCTGTCTCAGTAGAAAATTCTTTACATTTTCCTTGAGTCCTTCATCTTTACAGAAAGTATCCGTACATCTGATAACTGTCCCTCTTCCTTTTCTCATCCCTTTCCATCCTTTACTTTATCTCCTCTCCTCGTTCATTGATGCGTATTTGAGCAACATCAATCATCTTGTTTTGCTGGCAGTGATCGTCTCCTTCTCTCATCCATCCCATCCCATCCCATTCCTTGGCGCTCCTGCTTTTTTCCAGCATTTCTCTTCTTGTATCTACTACCCTACCCCCTGATTTCCCCAAGAATACCCCACAAAAATTTGATTCAATACTACCCCTACTTTTTACTCTTGAAAGTACCCTATGCCCTCAGAGAAAGAATACCCCCCATTCCCTGACGAACTACCCCACCCTTGAACTGCGGCTTTGCCCTCGAAAAAAATAGTTTTCTTTCCACCCCCACCCCTTCTATTCCTATGATGTACCCTCAAGTGGATCATGATTGAGTACCCCATCCCCTCTTTCCCTTTCGAAGTACCCCTGTTACCCAACGACCCCTCCAAATTGCATCTCATTGCAAGGCGACATGATGGCTGAGAGGGAGAGGGGCGGAGAACATGCGAGAAGAGAAGAAGGAGGAGCAGGATTACCAGAGGAAGCAGCTATGCATTACCCAAGGTCAGAGGAGAAGAAGATGAGATTGTCCATGAAGGGAATGAGGGAATGGCGTCGTGAAGGAAGATAAACAAGGAGTACCTGGAAATGTTCGATAGCGTCGAGGAGGACAGACATTCTGTATTAGGGTGAAAGTTGGCCGTTCAGCACTAAAATCAAAGTTATTTCCTGGGAAAGGAAATGTTGAGCAAGACTTGAAGTCAGCTGTATCCCAAGGGAGACGCTGTAGGTCTTCTAACGTAGGTACGTAGGACGAAGGTGAGTTGCGAAGAAGCAACTCCGCATGGACAAGGAGGTCGAGTTTGTCGAGCAAGGAGGCGATCGTCAACGATTACTCAACGCTGCATCCTCACCTATGGCCTTCGGCTATGAGGTATCGGAGGACGGGAGGCCATTGAGGGTTTAGGGTTCACTGTGTTACTGTGCTGTGCTCAGGAAGTCGCTTCTTCGCTCTTGCATCCTGCAGAGCTGCCCCAGACCCACAACGAGCTCTCTGACGGCAGCGTCCGTGCGTCAATGGCTCATTACAACGTGTCCGGACAGCTCGGAAGCCCGTCAGAGCATTTTCACATGCAGAACGCAAGCAGCGTGTATCGGAGGTCGATGAATGAGAACTTCAACATCCAAGAGAAAGAAATCGATAGACTCGAGAAGATCGGAGAAGGTTGTGACCCTTGAGCCGCTCTTCCTCATTGATCTCATGGCTCTTCCTCATTGATCTCATGGCAGGGGTAGTTGGAAACATCTACAGGGGAAGATGGAGGATGCTTGACGTGGCCATCAAGGAGCTCAAAGTCGACTATGAGAAGGGCAGCATTGCGCATAGCGACCTGCTGAAGGTGGACCAGCAAATCATCGTCAGCTCTCTCACATTCATGCGCAGGATTTCTCCATGTGGTCACGAGTTCGTCATCCCAACATCTGCATGTTCCTCGGGTTGCCCTCCCCCTCTTCGCCCAAATTCCTCACCCCCTGTGCTCCTCGTGCCCAGGATCGTGATAAGTAGTGAAGTCCCCGCGATTGTTTGCGAGATGATGGAAGGGGGAAGCATGGAAACTTTCTTTGTGCAGAACAGGAAGAGGTACGGACGAGATTGGAGGCCAAGCAGTCGCAAGGTTTATGAGTGGTCGCTTTGCTTGAACAGGGTACATGAGAATTCCCTGCTCCTGTTCTCCTCCTCTCCATGCTCATCCTGCTCCTCCTGTTTCATTTGCCCGCTGATCTTGACATATTGCTCACAGGCCTTATGCTACTTGCATGAATCGTCTCCTCCCATTGTTCATCGAGACATAAAACCTGCGAACCTTCTGCTGTCTGCTGATCACTCGTTCCTCAAGGTCTGCGTCGAAAGGCCATTCCCTCGCTGACCCTCTTCACAGTTGACTGACTTTGGGTTGGCGCGGGTCAGACCGGGAGGAACGTACAACATGTCGGGGAAGACAGGAACGAAAAGGTGTGGGAGAGGAGGGGAGAGGGGAGCCTGACGTGGTGGTAGGTATATGGCGCCAGAAGTGGTGCGTTGCGAGGGAGACTATGGAACGCCTGTGGACATTTATTCAGCAGGTGAGAGAGTCAAAAGCAAAGGAGGTAGAGGTTGGAAGGGTGGGTGGGTCAGACAGGAGCAAGAGGGAGCAATGAGCAGGGTCGAAGATTCCAAAGGATCAAGACAAGATGCGGGAAGAGCTTACTTGTATCAGGCATGATCATGTGGCAAATGTGTGCGGGTCAGAGACCGTTGGAGCACATCTCAGCAGACGCCGTGGCATGTCGAGCGTCCGACCCTCAGGTACCGCGAGAGAGGAAAGAAGCGAAGATCAGGGAGGGAGGGAGGGAGGGAGGGAGGAGGCAGAATGATGCTGCTCAGGTAGATGGCAAGCAAGACACTAAATCACGTGTTGTAGGAGAACCTGCGGCCGAGCATGGATCGGGTCAGATGGAAGGATATGCAGTCTCTCATAGTTATGGTGAGGTGGAGGAGAGCCGAGCTGCGTGCTGAGCTTGTGGCTCAAGATGTGGAACGGCCAGCCCATGGAGCGACCGACAGCTCGAGAAGTTCTGACGATCCTTGAGCGAATGCGAGGGCGTCCTGGCCGAATGAGAAGGGTGAGGGAGGATAGCAGAGGGAGGGAGGGAGGGAGGGAGGGAGGGAGGGGGAGAAAATGGAAGAGCGCAGCACGAGGGGAGGGAGAAGAGAGTAGAAGTGTAACAGGGATTGGAAACTGACAGGGAGGGAGCCCAGAGGGGGAGAGGAGGGGGGGGGGGAGGAAGATGACGTCAGAGCTGCAGGTGGGATGCTCGTGCGGACTCTTTGAAGTGATGATGCATTGGGCACCCTTCCATTGAATTTTCTTAATGCCGATGCCTCCTATCTGTTTCCTTCCTTCCCTTCGCCCTTTCCTCATGTTCGCGTCTGCTCTTCGAGTCTCCAGTGGTGTAGGTTTGCCTTGAGCCGCTCTAGAATCACTTCAGAGGCGGGGAAGCAGCTCACCCACGCGACCGCCAGCGGGTTCACGACGAGCTCGAAGAATCCAATCTGCGACTTAGTCACCCCTGGCTTGTTTCTGTCCATCAGGTAGGAGACAGGCAGCCCCAGTGATCTCTCTACATCCCCCTGCCGGAAGAGCTCGTCCTCCAGTCTCTGCGACCACTGCACGTGCACGTCCAGCTCAGCGTAGGCGTGGCCGAGGTCGCACATTTTGATCGCTCCTCGCAGCATCAGCACTAGGCTCTGCTCGTCCACCTCCGGCGGCCCGTTGGCTTCCTTGCTCGTCTCCTGCCCCGGTCCGTTGAGAGAGGGCGCGAGCTCCGGCGTGGATCGCTTCTGCACGCGATGCAGCAGCTCAGTGCGGATGAGGGATACCATCCTCTGGTGCTCTCCCATGTCGGTCGCGAGGACCATGTCGATGATGAGCTTGCGGATCTTCGACTGCGAGAGCTGCGGCACGCTGTGCATGAAGTTGCAGTCCGGGCGCTTCATGATTCGGAAGGCAGCAGCGAGGTGATGGTTCTCGTTGGGTGCCTTGTCGTTATGTAGGAGAGCTCGCTCGTGCCCCATCTTGACGAGAATGTCGTTGTTCAGCCCCAGGTGCTCGAAGTCGTGGATGATCGCCGCGAGCAGGGCCGCGAGAATGTCCGTTGGCCCCATGAATTCCCCGATTCCCCCTCTCGATATGAACATGTGCATCTTCTGCGTCACGTCCGCGCAGTGGATCGCGTTGTGGTAGGGGTTCGACTTGGGCATTCCGCTCTCAATCTCCTGCAGGAACTTGACCAGCCGCGCCGAGTCCAGCGCGAAGTTGTCGACACACCCGTGGGTCTTGAGAAGGAAGAGGGCCAGCACTTGAACAGGTTTGCCTCCCGTCACCTCATTCAGCTTAAACGGATTGAAGTTCCAGTCATGAATAGTCTGCAAGCATTCACTGACTTCGCTGCTGTTCATAAGCTCTGCTATTCCCCGCTCAAGGAATGAAAGATGGTCTGACATCTTGTGCGACAGTTTCGTGTCTCCAAAGCTGTTTAGCAACTGAGGAGGAGGAAGTAGCGTTGCATGTACACTGCTTGCCTCATTCATCGCCACGTCATGCGCGTCCTGCTGCAATTCTTCCCCCGTGCGCGACTCCTCCCCCGATGGACGATCGTCGCCCTGCTCCTCAATCTTCGTCTCGAGATCCTCAAAGTTTTCGGTCTTCTGAACGCCCAGCAAGCCAGCCACATCGTCGTCAAAGAGGCCAAGCAAACCAGCAGGCGAGTCAAAGTTGAAAGGAGTCTCTGGGGACTGCCGCCCTGTAGTTGAATAGATCTCATGCTCTGCGTTCTTCATTTCAACATCATCATCGTTAACATTCACATCCAAGTTGAGCGCCTCGTAGAGATTCTCTGTGTCCTTGGCGATGATTTGAAGCAGGTCTCTCGCCAATGCGACATGAAACTGATCATCCCCGTCCCGAATGCCATCCAATGAACATTTTACGTGATTCATGGCCAAAATCATCGACGGCTCTATGAAGTGTTCTGCTTTGCGGAGCTCAGCATAATGCATTTCGAATCTCATCCAATCGAGAGAACACAAAAGGTACAAGAAGAAGAATTTTCTGGAGCTGCATAGTGCACAACACTTTTGAAGATCATCCCTTACTTCCTTGACCCAGTTGTCACGCGATTCAACTTCTTCGAACAGGTCGATCTTGTCAGACGCTGTCATGATCTTGGAGGCACAGAGGAGACGAAGATATTCAGACTGAAGGTAACTTCCAAGTCGGAGAACGTCTGGCAGGCATGCCGTTATCCTCGACTTGACCAGCTCCCAGTCTCCTCGAACAGCAATACATTGTAAACTGAGAATCGGATCGATCTTTTGCGTATGAGGTCCAACGTTACTTCCGAACGCTCCATGCCCCCCCTCCCCATCCCGCGACTCCGCCGACGCAGATTCAGAGTCGAGCAGAGAGCCGAAGTCGGACATGTCCTCGTCCAGGTCAAGGTTCTCGCGCTCCGACAAGATGTTCCCCTCGTGAAGCATCGAGAAATGCGCATTGATCCGCGGGTTGCAGGCCCATCGCTTCGCACGGTTGGCCAGCGACGTGCAGTGACCGAGGTCGTACTGATGCGCGATGTTCAAGGCGCGCAACGCAAACTCCTCGCATTTTCCCACTTCTCCTGTGAGCGGGAAATATTCGTTCGCTAGTGTACACAACACGACACAGAGAGTAGGAGGATGCGCCGCTTCCTCTGCCATTCTAACAACTTCCTCCAGCTTTCCACGCGCATTTTGTAGATCCCCCACGACAACAAGGGCAGGTGCCCATGACGACAGAGCAACGATGGTTTGTATGACTCCGTTGATGGCGGCGAGCTCCGAACCTGAAGCAAGATAGTCATCATAGATCTGCTTGAGACTGTCCATGTAGTGAAACAAGTTGTCAAAGTCTCCAGTGAAATAGAGAGCTGGGATTAGAGACGCCATTCCCAGCTCTTCATGCAGCCGATTTGATGTTCTCTTTCCTGACTTATAAATTCTCTTAGCAATCTTTGCGCCAACATCATAAAGCTGACGGCCGTACAAGTTCACACAAATCCCAGCTAGAGCAGGAACAGCAAGGTCGTCCAGATCTTCTGACTGTGGAATCAGTCTATGCAGACCATGATACGCTGCTATAGACTCGGGACTGCCATGGCCGTAGACAAGTAGTGTATGCGGAGCCATCTCTGCCAGCAGCATTAGCTTGCGATCTGCGATGTCTTTCTGCAACGGAACCCTGTCAAGTATCCTGCATGCTCGTTGCAGCAATTCGATGGCAGGCAAGTACGAACATTCTGCCATTGCAGCATGCGCTGCCAAGTGTAGGTAGTTAGCAGCTCGATGAACGTCCTCAACTCCAACTTGGCTGTGATCAGCGGCATGCGACCAATGGTGAGCCAAGATCAAATGTGACGATCGCTCATCAAGATCTAGCGAGCCTTCGTAATACTCGGCCACAAAATGGTGCCAAATTCTCTGGTAGCTTTTGAGCAAACTCTGATTTACACTTTCAACAAGTCCAGGGATTACAACCTTATAAACATCGTACATTCCTGTTTTCGGATTCTTCTGATTAACGTATGCAGCAAAACTATTGTTTGAAAAGCTATCATTTGCAAGAGCTCCCTTGTATTGAAGAAGCTGAGCATGGACCTGTGATTGTATCGTGGGCGTTTGCCACTGCCAGTTGGCACACTCGTGGCAAGTGCTCGACTCTGTGCTCAACATTTGCTTCATATCTTCAATTCGTGCAGGTTGCAGCATTCCCAGGTTAATCAGCTGCTGAATGCTAGGTTCAAAATCAGGCGCAAAGTTTGGAAAAGTACTGCTGTACACATGACGAGCAAGATTAATTGTGAAGAGCGCATTATGTGAAAGAAAGCAAACAACTTTGACGAGCATCTGAACATGCACCAACAACCGATCGCCAAATTCTCCTCGGCCCAAAGCTTGCATTCTTGTCAAACCATTGTCCAAACCGGAAAGATCATTGCGAGAGACAATGGCGCCATCGCGTGTTCGAAAGATGTGCCCGTTGTCCACAAGATTTGCACAGACATTCTTTACGAAGCTCGGAGAGCATTCTCCTTTCTGTATCAATTGAACAAAGTAGGATTCAAGGGGAGGCGGAATATGCTGTACATTGTACGTCTGTCGCAGCAAATCGATGACCTTCCGCTTGAGAAAATGATACGAATAATTGTGTCTTGTATTGAATACTTCAAGCGGGGTGTCTCTTCCTTTCACTTTTACCGCAGGCATTTGTTCAAACTCAATCATAAGGCTCGATGCATCATGTGTCTCCTTATCAACGAGAATTACGTTTTCTCCCGCTTTGCACATGAGACGAGCAGCCATGTTGCACACACTCCCCATCGCACACATCTCTCGTCTTGTACTACTCCCAACAAACCCCGAGTAAGCTGTTCCTGTAGTGATGCCAATGCTTAACTTGATTGACAAATCCTGTACCCATTTCCGCATCTCAAGTCCTGCCAAGACGGCTCGCACAGGATCATTCTCGTGAGGCGAAAATGGGGGCATTCCCATAACACATATTGCTAATAGCCCCTTGTCATCCTGTAAAAACTGGCGCAAAGTTCCCTTTCGGCGATATGTTGCAACTTGAATGGCAAGGAGAGCTCGATGGGTTTGCAGAACAGTGTCATAGTCGGGAGCTTCAAGGTCAAGATGCAGTCTGACAAACATGACGGTCATCTTTCGCAAATCAGCGGCAAAGGGAGCAATGTCCTGCAAGTCTCTTGCTCCTTCGTGACAGTACATTTTCAGAATCGGCCAAGCAGTGTAAGTGAGATTTTCAGGGATGCTGATTCCCGGAGGATTTACGCTTTCGGAGGGTTCAGTGTAGCCCATGATTTTGAAGTTTCCTGCCATCGTTTCCTCCGCTTGAAACTCAGATTCAATGTGCGTCCAAGCCACCTTGCTCACTACGAGAGTACCGATTGCTGCCTCCTCCAGAGCATCTGCAGCCTCGAGCAAAGCCTTTCCAATAACGAGAAATTCTTTCCGAGCGCCGTTGTGCTTGTCAAGTTGTGCTCCACCAACGTGAGCAAACCACATCGGTCCACAGCTTAGAGATTGATGGAGACGCAATGTCACTCCTGCAGTGTACCGTTTACCACCACTGTATGCTTTCTTCATGTCCGCAAGCTCCTGGGCGATTTCAGGTTTTTGAGAGAGAAGAGGTACGAGCGCTGCATAGCTGAGATGGATCATGACACAATTGCTTCCAGCAACGACAGTTGCTGTCCGTTTTGATGCGTGAGTAGCGCCATCTCACCTACGATTTCCCCTTCTTCCAGCGTTGCGATTTCTTCACCGTGATCAATACTTTCTTCAATACTGCATTTCATGGACTGATCTGCGCTTTCGGATTCTTTTTTGACAAATATATTCACCATACCAGAATGAACGATCAGCATGGAGTCAGCTGGAGATCCCTGCTTGATGATGACATCGCCAGCACTGAAACGCTGCAACTTGCACTGCTCTGCCAACATGGCCAGCTCCGTGCTGGTCAGAACCTGCGCATGAGTTCAGTAAGTGAATCGAAAGTCTTCGACAAACTCTTCAAGCAAACAAAGGAGATTCGCAACCAACCTTGAGCCAAGCGATGGCTCGCAGCCTCCTTCGAATTTCTAAACCCTCTAATTGAACAGCTGAAGCCAACCACCCATTCTCATCTCCCATTTCTTGTTTGTCTGCATCCACAAGAGCAGCAGTGGCAAAGTGACGGGCAAGCTGATCTGCGAATTCAAGTGTGTTGGCGTCCGGCACGTGAACCTGCCAAATATAATCAGAAACGAGTAGTTTAAATCACTTCGATTAACCTTGAAGGTGCCGTGCAGTCTTTCAAGCTCCATAGCACACGTGACGGCTTGTTGAATGGTCTATACAAGAACAAACATTAGATGTCGCCCTGTGGGGAACTTGCATACCTTTGCTAAGGTGTTCTGGTCACACTCCCAGATCACGATGACAGCATCCCCAGCGAATTTTACGATATCTCCTGCCCAAGCCTCGACGTGCTTGATAATAGTGCTGAACATTCGATTGATCGTTGAAGTGAGAGAATCTATGCCTTCTTGCCCAAGCCCCTGGAATCTGTCCGACAATCTGGTAAAACCCTGCACATGCGCTAACTCAACCTGCAGTTTCGCAGAATTTACAAGCAGAAAATCTTACGGAGATGTCGACAATTAGGACCACTGCCAACCTCAGCTCAGCATCTATGGGCTGATACAAACATGTCAGGTTGCTTCGAAACAAACATGGTAAATGTTACAAATTGATTTGTTGTGGCAATGCTCCAGTGACGAAGGACGTCTTTTGTGACTTGCTGCTCATTTCATGTTCAGACGTGCTTCATTCAAGGTCACTTGAGGAAAACCTGGTCTTGGTGCGATGTGTGCTGTTGTTGGACTGCCTTTGCGATTGCAACTCTTGGCAAGAAACACTGGAAATACCTGTTCATAGTCGATGAGCAATCAATCGTTGACGACTCGAACAGTCTTACTCATATTTGCGTTGGTTGACCAGGCTGACTGCCGCACGCCACTTCTTCCCTTTGAGAGCAAGAGGCTTCGTTTTCTCATTTAAGGATGGTCTACGGCCGATACCATTCTCACCCTGTTGCTCTTCGCCCGACTTACGGAGCACCTTCAGCATCTTTTCCGTTTGTGTGGTTCCACCACAACTGAACGGATGTTCGTAAAACCAATGACCGACCGCGATATACTGACAAGCGTTCAGACCATCGATCCCTTGTCGAGATTTCCACACAATCTATCAATATGCAAGAGCTTATCTCGTCCAGGCAAGATGAATCAAGAGCAATGCAAGAGACTGAACAGATTCACAGATCTTCTCCCATCTTATACGCTGAGAGCAGGAGGCCGAGGGCTGACAGCCGCTAAAAAGTATTGCTTGTCATCAGCAGCGACTGTCCATAAAATTCTCGGTCCTGAGCCCAATGTCAAAGAAAAGTTCGACATTACCCTTGCTAGTAAAGTATCGTTCAGGAGCACGCTCATTGCTACCTTGATTAGACCATGTAAAATCTAACGTCTCGATCATGTACCGAGATCTCTTCTGATTTTAAACAAGAATATTCTTCTCGACTCTTTGCTTCCTCTGCCTCTTCTTGCCCGATTCGAGTGACTAAAAATCGCCTTCCTCCTTCCTCGCACCTCATGCATATTGATCAACACTACCCCTCAGACTCAATACCCCACCCCTACCTCCTTCGTTCAACCCCACCCACCATTTCCTATCTTGAAACCCACTCTTTGATCATTTCAGGAACGTCTCTGCCGGGAACCCTCCACATGATTACACTACCCCTACCTTTCCCCCCAATCCATTATAAACTGAGCCGGTACAAGGAATTCAGTACCCCACCAATAACTCTCTCGGAAGCGGGCAGGTTTGGGGCGGGGGTTGGGGCGCCAGCCATGAGACTACCCTTCTTTTTCACATCTCTACCACCCACCTCCATGAGATTGATGGGGTAGAAATCAGGGGGGCAGAGAAAGAGATCGCGAGGGGGTACAGGGGTAGAGAAAGAGATCAGGGGTATAGAGAAAATATTCATGAAGGGATCGATAGTGTAGGTCTCGTACTAATTTTAACTTAACTTTGAGTACATGTGTAGGGCAACACGATCCGGGCCTCGGAGTCGGAGGCATGCAGAACTAAGTTCGTGAAGTTGAAGACAAGGAGCAGCCTTCGCATAAAAGAGGAGCAGCCTCGCAAAGACAAGGTTTAGGGTCCCAATACCCGCGCGCCTCTTTAGACTTAGGATTGTTTTGCAATGCTCTCAAGGAAAAGGTGGCGGAGTGGTTGCACAGCAAGCGCTGGACTCGCGTGCAAGGAAACAGCAAGAAGGCCAGGAGGGTTCCGAAATTCCTAATCATGGCACTGAGTAAATTCTCGCTGAGCTTGAAGGAAGACAACCGTTTAGGGTTTAGGGTTTAGGCCCTGACAGAGGCATGCTGCTCCCTGACAGAGGCATGCTGCTCCCCTGACAGAGGCATGCTGCTCCCTGACAGAGGCATGCTGCTCCCTGACAGAGGCATGCTGCTCCCTGACAGAGGCATGCTGCTCTGCGGCGCGTAGGGAGAGCGCAAGGGGACCGGAGGAAGCTGCGAGCAAGAGGTTCGTATAGTTCAAACAGCTTTCTAAGCATGGTACTACAGTATGATGAGAGCGTTCGCAACCTGCTGTATCGGAGATCATGCCAATACACGCAGGGCGAGCGCTCTGGAGGCCACGTCGAAGAGGCCGCCGACCTCGTCGAGAGGGTGAAGAACTTCGCGAAGCGGTATCCTGGTAGTAGGACAGCTCATGCTTGCAGAGCTGAGGGGGGATGCACCCCCGACGCTATCGCTGAAGCCATCCGCTCAACATGTCGGCAGGCGAGACGCGACCTGTTTGAAGACTCTCTGAGGGAATGGAGCTCAGAGTCGAGAGCATGGTTTATACAACAGATGGAGGAGGCCAAGAAGCAGAATGTCGAGACATACATCGGCACAGAAGGCACCGAGGGGACCTCCTTCATCTCCATGACTCTCCTGGGCATCTCCTCGATGTATGTTCGACAAGAAGACAAGTTGAAATCGAAGCTTATGGAACTGGGTCTCATGGTAGACTCAGTCGATGGAGTCGACAAGGCCATCATGTGGAAAGCACCTTACAGACCTGAGATAGCACGAGCAGACGACATCTCAGTCACCGTCTCCTTCCTTCGGAATGAAGCAGCCATGGAGCTATGGGAAGGCAGGAGAGAATACTGCATAGACGGCAGATCGTTCAGAGCCACAGAGGTGAGCATTGCACATGACCGGTCCTTCAAGCTTCGAGCCAAGCGAGGACCTTGGGGCAAGGGAGGGAGCCTTGCCGAGCTATCACAGCTCTTAGCTCTTGGAGGAATGTCGACGGCCGACATAGCTCAGATCTATCGATTTCAGCTGCTCTCGCAATCTCTTGCAGCCGCAGAGGTACAACCACTTGCGGGCATGCTCGTGCAGGGTCCTGGGCAGAGAGGTCGCAAGGGGCCGAGCCCGAAGACGTATGTTGCTGTTGGGGCAAGTACTGGCACTCTCCAGCAAAAAGAGCTGGAGTGGGTGCTCAGCTCGCCTTCGACGGCAAGTTGCGAGCAGACCTTGGCCTCGTTCAGAGAGAGCGAGGCGATGGAGGGGGTACATCTCACTCTCATCAGCGACGACGCCAAGCTCAGAGAGACGTTTGCAGTCGAGCTCACAGCCGACACCTTCGTTCCTAGGGGAAAGATCGCTAAGCAAAGGAGGGCACTCCGCGAGAGAGATCATGCGGGGCGCAGCAGCTTCAGAGTACAGATCAAGTCGAGGTCAAGCATGAGCACAGGCCGCTTCTCGAGGAAGGAGATGGAAGCGCTGTGCGGAGGAGGTAACACATCGATCACGAGAGTCAAGCGAGCCATGTTGGAGTTAGCAAGAAGGATAGGCGTGACGCTGGTCAGCGTCGAGGTCGAGGAGGATCGTGACACGCTCAGCTGGGATGGGAGCCTGATAGCTCTCTCCCTGGCGACCAAGGCAGAGGCTCGACGCTTGATGGAAGACATGCCCTTCTACTTGGAAGGGATCCTGGAAGTCAAGCTCGAAGCGGTGGGGTTCAAGCTCAACGGGCCTCAGCATGAGTTATGTGCCGGGGAAGGGGGTACCAGTCCAATAAA